TTGTGCAAGGTATTTTCAGTGAAACAAGAAATGAAAATTTATATTCATGGTCATTTATAACATTCATTCTGCTCAGCCTTTTATTTAGATTGAAAGATTTCGGGTCTAAAAGTTATTCAAAAATAGACATTCATCCAGGTCTGTTCCATACAAATACTCGCCCTGGTCTGCTTCTTTTTGTGTTTTTGATAATACTTTCAGTTTATAAATAACTTGTGCTTTTACTCATTTTACCATCAGCAGTTTAAAAAATATTCAGCAGTTTGCTACCGAGCAAAGTTCTACATATTCCTAACGTGTGACTGGCACCCAGTGGTTTAATCCTTTTAAAAGTTTTTTTTTCCCCGAGAGGTGCATGAAGAGGCAGATGCTTAAACGCATTTTTGTAACAATTAAGTGAACGTTTTACTTGCTTAAATTTTTCATGTGTATTAGAAGCCATAATAATGTGTGCACCTATGTAAATATGCGACAGACCTAAATAATGCATTTTCAACCATTAAACGTTTAATCAAATGGCATTTCTGTATTTTTAGAGTTGTCAGAACCAACTTAATATTGCATAATGTAGCGATTAACAGATTTTAACATGTTTAATTTTGTTTTTAACATGTAAGAGATAAACATGTTTTTATTGTGTTAAATGTTCATATAGACTATGGTGATTTTTCCAGGCATCGGATTGATTTGTTTTGCACATGAAGTCGTTAATACTAGAAAGCATGCCCGATTCTAGTCTAGCCAGGTGAATAGTACAGAGTGATCTTTTGAGTTTTTATGGGCTGGCAGTGATGCACTTCATCTGTTGGACACTACTAAACCACAGTATTCTCTAAAACTCTTCTCATCTCGGCAGCAGTGACAGGAACCTGAACCACACAGCTTTGCATTTCCTTTCTAAGCGGGCAGAATCCGGGGGGCCTCTCATGAGAAATAACCATCTTGTGCCTACACGTGCTGTAGACTCTCTGCTCTATCAGCTGTTGAAACCATCCAAGGCTGATGGAAGCTGTGCTTTCACCCAGCAGCCTCCTTTTCCAGCCATGTCGGGGGCTGTCAGAATGTGCTTGGCTGAATCGGATCAGGAGGACCTTGCAGTACATGGAGAATAGCGGGGGCGGGAGAAACTACATTACTAAAGAAGAGGCTGTTTTAGTCATTGGGTTGACCTTCACGTTGGGGGATTTTACCAAAGCAGAGTTACAAGAGTGTCATTTTTTTCCTGCAATTAGTTCCGTTAATGGGGAAGCCTGTAAAAAGCCAATCGCATCTCTCTGACTCTGAGTAGTTGAGAGTGTGATGTGTAGGGATCTTTGCCCACAGATTTACACCAGCTCAAGTGAAGCTCTGTGGTTAATTATGAGAATGTCAGAGTCACTCATTGAATGAAACAAGTGGACCCTTTTCTGTTGGGTATTTAAAAAAAAAATGCTCAGCTCAATATGAGAGGACATTATACTTTTATAATAAATTGGGGGAAAGGGTGGATATTAATTTCTTGACTCTTGTCCACATTTACGTTGTTTTGAAGCGTTTCCTAGTGTAAGAAAACCGGCTCAGGGACGCCAAATATGTAATCATAGCCAAAATGTAAATGTAGTGGCTCTCTGAAGGCACCAGTTCTGTAGGGTTTGGGCATTTACTGAGACAATTATTAATTGTAGCAGTAAATCACAAAGTTGATTCATTTAATGGCTTTAGAATCCAACCATGCGACATAACTCAAACAACGCACACATACAGGTACTAATACACGAGGATACATTTATTTATACATAGAATATGGATGTAAACCTAACAGATCTTATCGAGAGGGTTATCAGAATACAAAAGGTATATTCGGTCAGTTACAAAGAGTTACACATATCAAGAGGACATACATTCAGTATATCATTCATTAAGACCGTTTCTTAAATGAACTTGGTTATAACTTCTACATTAGATACTCAAAACAAGTACATAACTCTTAAGAATTAAATTGATATCAACTGGTTGGGATAACAATTGAATTCTCGAGCTGTAATGCATTGAAGTTGAATACTCATCCAATTTCTGGGGATTCAGATCTCCTGCGGGCACAAAGAAACAGTTGCACGCTGTTGCTGTCCAATCCGCGCTCTCTGGCTCCGTGCCAGGCTGTGCTGTGCGGCTTGCGACAGTGCGCTGCTGATGCTCACTGTTGGCTTTAACTAGCAAAGTTTGTGCACAGGAGAAAAGATGACTGTGGGTCCCAACAAGTCAGGAAGAGGACCGGTTCGTTCCTGATGAAGAGCTAGTTCTGAATAGTGATTCAGCTGTCCACAGTTCCGACCTGTTCATGAGGCCTGCTGCTGGTGCTAACCTCGGGTTGATCCTCTGGTTACTCTCTGGCAACCTCCACTCTAGACTCTTAGAACAAAGGAAAGTTCTGGCACTCGGACACACTGGCCATTCCGTGGTTGTCCGGGGTGAGTCTCAGGATGGTCAGGAGGCGCGCTGCGAGAATGTCCTGCCCTTGGGAGCCTTCTGCTCCTGGGCCGTCCTGCCCTGGAATTCTCCTTTGAATTCCCTTTAGAACAGTCCACAGAATCCTCTCCAGAATCTTACTGAATCTCTCAGGCTCTCTGTGTTGCCTGTTTTTACCTGGAGGAACTTCAGCTCATTGATTGGCTGAAAGTTCCATGGGCATCAGAGTCCCACGTGGGTTACTCGGCCCTACCAGTCCCTGATTGGTTGATCAAGGTGAGATATGAGTCACTTACTCCTGACACTTAGGAATGCAGTCCAGATGTCCAACTGGCACTCCCTAGACAGATAGGCACCAATGGATGACCATTGATCATGATAGCCAGGCTTAGCTAAGTGCATCCCCCTTTGGGAGCTTGTTTCTTATCAAAAGAAAACATCTTAAATCAGCCTGCATGAATAGTTTCTCCGTGGCTGCACCACAGAGATGAACAGAGAGATGAGGCCTAATTTGGGAAAGCTCAGAAACACTTAATTCTTTCTTATTAATAAGCCTCGCCGCTAAACTAGGAATGTGCGGTATATTACACATCTTTTCGCAAATTATAATTTATCACAAGTCACAACTGCAACCAATTCTCAGTTATTAGGAAAAGGGGGACCTTTTTGTAGCAGGTGCACCAGCATTCTGTAATAAATTGATTATAACTTGTCATCCACAGTGTTGATTCATTTTGCACCACGTTTCAAATGGTGTCTTGTGGAATTCATTTGCATTCCTTTTGTATGGCCTAGACAATCATATGCCAATTAAGTAGCTTCCTGTATATCTGTCACATTTTTCTCTCCCAAGAAAGCTATCATTGAGCTAAGCTCTGAGCAGTCTAAGGGGCAGTTTTCCAGACCCTGCAGGAATCAAAGTGATTTGGATCATTACTGCACTGTGCTGTCAGATTGTTGTCAGCCACCACAATTTGGGCTTTTAGTGACTAGATGTTCTGCTAAGATCTTCACACTTGGACATCCCCATCGGTATATCCGTTTACTGCAAACTGTAGCATATCATTGTGCACACCTGCCTCACACTTGCTGACGTCCATCAGTGTTGTCCACTTGGGATGTTGGCATATCTATGCTGATGGCACAAAGACAATGTTGTCTTGATAAGCAGGGTATATCGGTTCCTTTCTCTGCTTCACTGTTCACCAAGCTTGACATTCAACAGGTTAAATCATCTAAACATCTGTGCCCATTCAACTCTTTCACTAATGATGTGATTTTGAGCTCACACAACAGTCTGAATCACTTAAATCATGAATGATTAAGTTTATCAAATTGACACCAAAACATTGTATCCAAAACTGCATACTTTGGTTTTATAAAAACATGCACAAAGCAATCTTGTGGTTTAGTTTTATATGTCATGTGAATGTATTTGGTATTTGTCTTCCAAGCTTTATCTTTAACCATCAGACCTTATGTTTTGTTTCATATTCGGTATTAATATAGCTAATTATATTAATGTGGATGGAAGTATCTTTACAGGACAGTAAACGAAATATACACAGAGAACTAAAGTTAAGTAGTGTCATGAAGTTTAGGAAAGTCCGCCTGTTTACCTGATACCATACATAGAGCTGACAAAATGAGTATTTAATCCCTTATGGAAGGGAGCAGCAGATTTACTGTTAATTTTCAGAACAGCAGTCCTGGTCTGTGCGATTGCATCACTTTTCTGGTAAGTCTTCATGAGTCTTAGGAAATGGGTTTCCTGGAAGTGTTCTACTGGGATTGGCCAAGATATTTGTTTATTGAAAAACATAATTTAAAGGGTGATTTATCAATAGTTTTTTTGTTTCCTTGTGCAGAGGAAAGGTAGAGCCCTAATGGGGTAACATGGGCATTAATCAGCGATCTGGTGCCTCCTGCATCTTGCTGGGCTTTGTTAGAGATGTGCCACTTCTTCAGTCACTGGTATCACAACTGTAAGGCTCAGTGGAGCTTGAACCATGTCAGAAGATGAATGGCTCTAGCTGCTGGACATGTCTGCCACCGTTCTTCCCAGTACTTGCCCCAGCCTTAATGCTTTGACTGTGCTTGCTAACACGTCTCCAAAACGTGTGGGTTTTCTTCACTGCTTCACTGTACACGTTTCTATGAAACTTGTTCACCATAGCATTGGTTGTGATTTTTACCTAGAAAAAAAAAACTGTAGGTGAGTGAGAAATGGCAAGAGAAGGAAATTTCCATGAGAGAGGAGAGTGATCAGCTGTTACCGTGCTGAGGAGTTTGTCAAATCTGCCGCTGAAGATTTTGAGGGGTAGGGAAATGTAAATCAATTGCAGCCAACTTGTAAAGCCACTATGGCGGTAACACAATTAAGTCTGCTTTTTTTTCTAAAGAAAGGTTTTCTGTTCAAGTTGATGTTTTGCATTAACATATTTGCTTCAGATCAGAGCTCATTCAGAGCTCGGGAGGGATTGTACTAGTTGATTTTGAGCAGCTGGCCGTTCAAAACTGATTTCTCATGGGTTTCCCTGTTCTGTGTTTTGCAGGTGTCAGCTGTGATGCATGTTTGAAAGGTAACTTCAGAGGTCGGAGATACAAGTGCTTAATCTGCTACGACTACGACCTGTGCGCATCGTGTTACGAGAGTGGAGCAACCACAACAAGACACACAACAGAGCATCCCATGCAGTGTATATTAACAAGGGTAGATTTTGGTAGGTATCCAGCTGTTTTGCCTCCAGATATCCATTTAGTAAGCACTGCATCAGCATGGCATTACCTTATATGGACCTTATAATTTGTATTTAAAATCTAAAAAGATTGTAAAGGCTGAAAAATGTGCACTGTCCCAGAAATGGCAACAGCTGATTCAACACAACTATATTTGTTCTTCCGATGTTTAAGACCTTGGCTGTTTTTTTGTATAAAGAGCAGATGCCTTTTCTCTTATGCTGTCTACTGTGCCCTATCCAAGTAAGGAAAATGCTTAAAACAGTGAAAGGCTTTTCACTTTTCTGAAGCAAAGTGTGGCAGTTAGCAAGTAGCATGCGAAATGTTACCAAATACCCATTTGTTTAGGATAGAGTATTTAGGAGACTGATTATTAATTATCTTTAGTTTCCTCTCTTCCTGCAGATTTGTATTATGGTGGGGAAGCTTTCTCAGTAGAGCAGCCCCAGTCTTTTACTTGTCCTTATTGTGGGAAAATGGGTTATACAGAGACATCCCTACAAGAACACGTCACTTCAGAACATGCAGAAACGTCAACAGAAGTGGTGAGTTTCCTGTGCAAAGTAAACATTATTAAAATAGTTCAGTATTTCAGACAAAGCCTTAATTAACTTGATTTTATTATTCGTATTTACATTTTCATTCATTTTTACATAGTCTGAACGAAGGACAGTTTGATGGCCCTCTTAAACTTCATTACAGGTTAATAATAACTTTTTAATAGGTAAAAGCTGGATAAACAGACTAATTGGGAGCATTCTGTGCTTCGTACATGAAAGCACATTTGCAAAGCTAAATGTTGTAGCCAGGGTTGCCAACATGATTTTTTCTGCCAAACCGAATGGACTGTAATTTGTAGTTTAGTGACCGCACACCACATATTATCTTTACTATGGGCTGTTTGACATGGATTGTAATTTGGATTGAGTGGAAATTTAAGAACAAGTTTTTTGTTTTTCTTGTGTGTATAGGGTTTGGCTCTCAAATGAATGGTTTGTACAGAACCTGTGTTTGTCAACATCCGTGAAACTAGACCTCCCATAGTACAGTCCATCAAAGTTATAATGCAGTGGGTTTATGGGCTTTTACTCCAGTGCCCTTTTCAGCATATGCTTAACCTGGCATTACAGCTGTTCACAGTTCTGAATGCAAGCAGCAGGATAAGATCAGTGACTCAGTTAGCTGGGGTTCCCCACTGAAATGTCAGAGTAAATACCATGTTGCATACAGTCCTCCCATTGGTCCCTCTGGGTTTGCAATTAAAAAAGCTTATTGTGCTCTCGCAAAATATATTAAGAGGTTAATTTCCCAATCAAGAGTGTTCAATTTATGGAACACGGCCCTGTATTTGCTCATTGTGTCTGCTGTATCATCCGGTTTTCATCAACCTTTTTTCAAATGCAGCTAATGACTAACAGAAAACAGAAATGCACAAAGCATCACAGGTGTGAAATGTCTATATTAATGTATTTACAGCGCACTTAAGTGATTTAAAAAGGTTATGAATAAATAGGGCGTTGTATATTTTTTGGGATTCAATATGAGTGGACAAGTGACTCTATTGCATTACTTTGAGTCACCCACTAGGTGGCAGTATGTCCCTGCTTTTGTGATGTGCTCTGGGATCACTTATGTTTTAACTATACCTTGATTGTCAAAGAGATCAGTAAATTGATATTTTGTTTGGGCTTCATCAGAAATATTGAAAACAAAGATGATGGTTGTGGTTAAACATTTCATCTCAAGTTTCCCTTTTCCTCTTGGAGGCCATGAAAGGGCCTGGCCTTCTTGTAAATGGCTGTTCAGAACTAGGTTTAAAAAGTTACATGGGTGCACAGGCTTCTTGTTATGAAAACTGGCAATGGAAGTATGGTTCAGAAAGAGGGGCCAAATCCAGTCTTGGATTCCAAAATAGACACCTGCATCTGAATAGGTTTGTTGTGGCCAGTTTACTTCAAACTTCCCACACCTAACGATTGATAGTGGATTTCAGAATTTCGGCATAAAGCTTCGTTCCACCTAAGGTACCTCTGTTTCTTATTAAGGCTTTTTTAAATTTCTTATTAAGGCTTTTCTTTAAATAGGTGGAAATATCTTCCCACTAGCTATTCACCTTTAGACTCTGTGCAGCCTTGTCCTCCTCTACAGTTATGCCTCGTTCCATTTGAATGCAGGGCTCTTATTAAGCTGTTAAGTGTCCTAAATGTTGCGTGACGCCTCCTGCGTTAGTAATCAGGCTGTTTTATTTTGGTCGTAGCAGATGTCTTTTTCTTAACTCCTTCCTGTGGTATGGATTAGTTTTAGCGCCCAGGCCAACAACAAATTGTATAGCTTTTTTTTGTGGTGCATGTTCATTTCTTTCATTTTCTGTTTTATATATATGTTATATACTTTGAGCCTTTCACTGTTGAGATATAAGCAGCAATCACAGATTCATTAAAAAAATCAAGGATTAGGTTTTACACTATGTGAAATTGTAAAAGTTTTTGGACGATTTTAACCGTTAATATTTTTTAGTTAATTGTTTGATGATTTGAAAATAAAATTGTATGTTGTAAAATGCAGAGACCGAGTTATTTTAGATTTTTAATATGTATGATAGTCAGTGACTTAACTTTCACTGCCTTTTCTTCTACCGTTTTATTACTGTCCACGAAGGAAATCATCGGAAGTCACATCCTTATTTATTGGGTAGCCGAGAAACAGTTTGCCTAAACCATGTTTAAAAATAAGTAACTAAAGCCCATCTCACCTAGTCTTCGATTGCTCAAAAGACTTATTGTTCCATAGTCACAAGCATTCAAAGTGAGATCATGTTAACTGAAGGAATTCGAATTAATTTAAAGTAGGTAGTGGTGCTGCTTTTTGTTTTCCTTCATTTCCAATTGAGTAATTTCTGTTTTTTTTTCTTACAGATCTGTCCAATATGTGCAGCATTGCCTGGAGGCGACCCCAATCATGTTACAGATGATTTTGCAGCTCATCTTACACTTGAACACAGAGCACCTAGAGATTTAATATCCTTTCAGTGACATTCATCATTGTGAAGCTGTTGAATCCCCCAAAATATACCAGTACAGCATTTTGTAGTTTGCTTTTCTGGTGCCTCAGAAGTCATTTTTGATGTTGATTGTTTCATCTGCGTCACATGGTTATTTCTCTTTGTTGTTGCAGGGAACTTTTCAGTCTTATGGATTCAAGTCGTGCTTTAGAGTTTATTTAATCTGTGTTCAGTAATTAAGATAATTCTTGGAACACAAAAACCATATGACTGTAAATTTATTTTGAGCTGTATACGCTTTTTATCGGTAGTGTTCTAAGAGTAATCCGATTTTATCACAATTTTCTCAACAGAAATCATCTCTTTTTTAACAAAAATATCGGTGGTGTGGAATAGATGAAAAAGGGTTGAGGAACGTATCAGGATTTATATTGTCGTCTTTTAGTTGCATAATTGTTAGATAAAATCAAAAATATTGTTCAAATGAGTTAAAAGAAGGTCTGTCACTCTTCAAAAAAGCCTCCGAATCCCTATTTTTCTCATCCTCCGATATCTAAAAGGAAGGCAGAGCTGTATGTAAGTGGTTAAGTTTCTTATGTAGCAGCATTTTCACATCTGGTTCAAAATAAATGCAGCTGAGTTTGCCTGTGATTTGTTACGTCTTCTGCAGTGTCTGACTAGAAACAAACTGCTGTATTTGAAAGGCATGTTTTTCAAGAAGAGGTGCATGGAAGTTGAAAGTTATGAGTCGTTCTCAGAGCGTGATGTTAACAATGGCGCCCTTTTGAATGTTTGGCTGTCTCTCATCTTTCCTTAACGAAGTGCTTACGATGAATCCAGTGGTGTCCGACATGTACGTAGGATGTTTCACCCTGGGCGAGGGTTAGGAGGTCCTCGTGCCCGCAGATCAAACATGCACTTTACTAGCAGTTCCACTGGTGGGCTCTCATCTTCACAGAGCTCATCATATTCTCCAAGCAATAGGGAAGCCATGGATCCCATAGCTGGTAAGTCCTATATCATTCACAACAATTGTCTTGGCACCTTTTTCTTTGCAAGGAAAAGGCTCTAATTTGAACGCACCAAAGTACCAGTCAGTGCCCCTGTAGGCATTCTTTCTGTAAATATTTTCCATATCATTCTTTTTAAAGGCAGAGGAAGTAGCAAGCGCTGACTAGTGTCCTTGTCCAGTTGCTTTATTTTCATCTTCCGTTAACGGCTCCATTTGAAGCTCTAACGCCAAGGCATGTGTGTGTTAATACTGCAGGATGCAAGGATATCCTCCTGTTCAGTTCATAAGGTAATTGAAGTTCACTTGTGAAATTAATTGGACGCTATCCATTTGGACACTACACTGTAGCGTGTGCCATCTTTCGGATGAGATGTTAAACTGAAGTCCTGACTCTCGGTGGTCAATAAAGATCCCCGGGCATCTCTTGATAAGAGTAGGGAGTCCCGGCCCAATTTCCCCCCTCAGCCTTTACCTTGGCCTCCAAATTGTCCCCATGTATGATTGGCTTGCACTTGCTCTGTGATGGACTGGCGCCCCGTCCAGGGTGTACCCTGCCTTGTGCTCGTAGCTTGCCGGGTAGGCTCCAGCTTCCCGCGATCTTTGAGGTGATTGCACATGAATTGAAAAAGATGAATTCCAGTTGTATTTATTGTATCACCGTTAGATAAGTGATAAAGGCACGTGTTTAAAGATGCGTGCACTGTGTGCACCCTGGCTTGTTGGTAATGTAAAACTAAGTAAGGGATTTACATTTGGAGCACTGTTTGATAATCTGAAACTGCACTCAAAGTACAAAATACAGACTGCAAAACCAAATGAAATTAATAAATCCACTTGACAAATAGTTTTATAATGAGCAGTTTACAAAGATATAATGTGTCCTTAGCACACTGGTGCTGCTGCGAGCTGCATGCCGTCTTAATCCATTTTCCATTTATATTCACATTAATGATGGAAGTCATTCATAAAGGAGTTTAATTTAACCTTAACCTGCTGTGCTTAAAAGGTAGACATCCCCTGATTACAAGCTTGGTATGTCAATGAATATAAAGCTTATCAAGCGTTAATGAAGCAAATTAAACCTAAGGGCACAGTTCAAAACATGCATTTCAGACTAATATATGTAGAGTATTAAATATTGTATAGTCGTCTTCAACTTAGGGCTCAGAGTACTTTAACTTTTCAGAACCTGTTGTCTTCTGTTTTAGTAGTGTGTTGCAGCCTTCCTTAATCATTTGTTGCGGATACCAGCAGCAACACAAGAAATATTATATTCAAAAAGAATTGGTCAAAATCATGTACAATTTCCTTGAATTTCAGACTTAGATCTGCCTGAACAAAACCGTATTGTTTAAATTTCTAGGAATTATATAAAACAATATGTAATGAACACATTAATGAGTTGTACCTCTGATTGGAGTATAGAAATCTATGAATGCTGGCAGCATGTCTTCTTCCACATGTCGGTATCCACATTAGAAAATGTCTTTGCAGTCGATGCAATTTTGGTCCTCCAAAGTAAGCTTCTTGGAATTGTTTGGACACCTTTGTCCTATTGTTTGACATGATCATGTTCCAGTCACAGGTCTTTGCACATTTGCTTTAGGTTTAGAGCAGATATAAGGATTAACACAACAAGAGATAAGAATCTTTAGTAAATGTAAATATTAACAAGTAGCTTCTCAGGTTTTCACAAGGGATCTTAATCTGTAATACGTGGATGATACCAATATGTAAATAAAATGGAGTCAAGAACGGGGAGTTTTAAACCCTCTTTAATGTCAACTGTAAAACAGATTTTGGGTGTATTTTTATATTTTTGAAATGAAGGAAGACATTAAAGTTGCCATCTTATACCATCAAAGATGGCATTTCTGACCCTTTATTAAAGGAATTTACTCTGCACTCTCAGTGGGCAACGCTATAATTGGACATTGTTTTCCCCTCTTGCTTAATTTTTTAAGGCATTTTAAATAAAGGAAAATCAAGCATTAATTAAAAGTTAATGAGTATTTCCCTTTGCAGTTTAACAAGAACACTCATCCAGGTTCTAAAAATAGTTTTCTTAGCATGTAATGACTAAAGACTTTGGGGGGCAAGATGGGATTATGGCCATTTCCTCCATGGTTTCTTTCATACCCGCTGTGATGGACCATTAACCACAAACAGCGAAGCTGAAAGACTTACTGCAGAGGTTTTCTGATGGGGAGAGTTATCCTGCTTTGACAAGTCCTTGAAGTTGGCAGTAATATCCTCAGCTCTGGCACAGTGTGGATAACAAGGTGCAGACAGAGGTTAAACAGTTTTTGATGTAAAATACTGTTGGCCTTTTCCGTTCATTATTGAATGCATAGTCAGACTTTATACACTGTCAATACTGGTAATGTGCAACAGCTGTTTTATATCCCTGTCATCTAAACTCACTGTTTTGTGACGGCATTCACTTCAGGATTACCTGGAATCAAGGAGACATTATTGCCACTACGAATTTAATATATTTCATGTCTTAAGAAAGCAATAGCAGTGTTTCTTTGAGTGATTCAACTTGTGCCAGTGGGTAGGTTAGGTTATTTCTGAGTTCTCATGTCTTTTGGAGTGCCTCATGTCAGGTTTCCTTTGATGTACTCAGAAAGGTGCTTGCTATACTGTTGCTGGAACAAAATACAACTGGCTTATAGTTACCTTGAATAAAAAAAACAGTCATATCGGAAAGTGCTATCCGTTTGTGACGGTGTTCTAGTAATGCCTTTCTGTGATCTTTGCAGAGCTTCTATCTCAGTTGTCAGGGGTGAGACGCTCGGCAGGGGGGCAGCTGAATTCTTCCGGCCCCTCAGCCTCTCAGTTACAGCAACTGCAGATGCAGCTGCAGCTGGAGAGACAGCAGGCGCAGGCGGCACGGCAACAGCTGGAGTCGGCGCGGAACGCGACGAGGCGCACCAACACGAGCAACATCACCACCACCATCACGCAGTCCACGGCAACGACAAACACCACCACCACGGAAAACAATCAGCAGGCCACCCAGAATTCTCAGTTTCTCCTCACAAGGTAATTTGCGTCTAGCGCACACGCAGCACCAAGGAAAACGATTTTGCCAAGAGTGTGAATATCCAAGTCTGAAACCCTTTAGTCGCAGTCTGGTTAAATAAATCTTTTTGCGTTCAGTGTACAGTGGTATTTACTTGCTTACCCTCTCCATAATATCGATTGTCCTTAAACCTGTCATGAATTGATGCTAATTATCATGGAAAATTGAATACAAGCGTGTTACTTTCGTTTGTGTCCAACTATACGTAGTTTTTTCCATTTTTCTGTTCCACTGTGCCGTAAAATGAGCATTGCTGCACATACACATTTTTCAGTTCCCTTTCAATAGCAAGATTTAGACATTACCTCCCTGAGAAGTAAAGTAGTAAACGCATATATAAAAGCTGCCCGCTGTGCCAGAGCAGTCTCATCATTCTAGTAGAATACTACGTGAAGTACAGCTCTTGCTGTAGGTTTTTTCTTCAAATCGCAAGAGACACAATGTTTACTTGACTTGATTACTGCATCTCCTCTGCCAGACTTTCTCTTCTCTTTTTCCCCAATTCCAGAGCCTTATTTGTCCAGGCTAGCTCGGCCCTGGTTCCTCAGTGGTGGTATGATATCCCCATTGAAATCAGAACTGCTCAGTCCCCGGTCATAATTTCATGTCTCCTTAAGACTTATCCTTTTTTAGCCAGTACCTGCAATTCATCTCACGTTGTGGTGAGCTTTAACCGATACTGCACTCTGTTGAACGGCCCTCCTTTTTTTACTGCAATTATGATTCTTGCCTGATTTACTGATTTTAGATTTTTACTCTGTGCTACACAGGCATTGTGCTTCAAACAAATCTGCCTCTCTTTTCTTCTTGGTTCTTGTATTTTTACAGACAACGGCAGATCAACAGTTTCCCCTGCGTTTCTGTCGCCTCTTGAATTAATCAAGAAACAATTTAGGCTCGTTGTTTGTTAGTTTGTAAATGTCTGGCTTCCATTCGTTCATCAGGTAGTTAACAGATCTTCCTCAGGATAGCTGTGGACAGTGCTTGGCATGCCTGGGTCTATAACATGCCCAGCAAGCACTGCTTTGTGATTTCTGCTTAGCTTATGGTACATTCTTGCAGAGATTTTTCTCTTTGATGAGCATTTTATGTCAGTCTCTGTGCCTTTCCTAGCCAGAGGTGAATGTCAACTGGACGGAGTCCAGCTATCTTTGCAGCCCCCAAACGTGTCAGCCTTGTACCCCTGAACCCCCTCCCAGAAGTATGTCCTGGCCTACAACACTTCCTCTCAGAGCTGAAAGGAGCTAATGTAGCAGAGCTAGTTCGAATATGGTGGTGTCGGCGCCCTCACTGCGCATAGCAGGGACGTCAGCTACCTGGGCTGAGGGAGGTCTCCTTTAGCTCATGTGGCTGGTTCCCTGTTGCATTACGCCGGAGACCCAGGTTCGCGCCCCAGGTGCTGCGGGACGGAATGGGTGGCGGAGGGGACGAGCCGCGCGGAACCAATATGGTCACACTAATATGCACAGCCATCAATGTAGTGACTTATTTAAACCATCCAGAAGGTCTGCAATCCCAAATCAAATCAAGTAAAAATAATATCCAGAGAGATTAAGCCAGTGGCTTAGAAGATAAAGATTTAATAAAAGATACTCAGAAGTCGAGCAGATTAAATTAAACAGCATGGTGTTGATAGGGGTCTTCTTGTCCCATGTCCTCTAGGTTGAACGACCCGAAGATGACGGAAGCAGATCGCCAGTCCCTGGAAAGTGAACGGGCAGATCGCAGTCTGTTTGTCCAGGAGCTTCTCCTCTCCACTTTGATGCGGGAAGAAAGTTCCTCCTCAGACGAGGACGAACGGGGGGAATTCGCCGACTTCGGCGCTATGGGATGTGTAGATATTATGCCTTTAGATGTTGCTTTAGAAAACCTAAATTTAAAAGAAAGTAATAAAGGAAACGAGCCTCCACCACCTCCTCTTTGATGACATCCCACTCCGCAGACAATGTCCTCTGTGCTGTAACTGCCAATGAAAGTGGACAACAACTATTTTTGGGTTTGTTTTGGTGATTGTAATTTCAGGTCTGTCACTCTTGTTACATTGTGTACATTCATAAAGGAGCGAGAGAGGAAAAAAAATGAAATATATATATATAAAAAGATAATCAATTCCACATAACTAATTTTTACTTCTAGCAGGTAAACTTAGGTAGCAGTGCCAGAGGCAGATTCTGCTTCCTGTTCCTTGACATGCAAAAGGCTCTCCTAATAAATACTCCACATTCAAACTGAAGAGGAAACAAAAAATTGAAAAAAAATCTCTAATGAAGCTGCTGTGTGTATTTATGAATATTAATGAATAAAAACTGCTTGGATGGTTTACCATAACTACTGCATGAGGTTTTTTGCAGAGTGCATGAGTTTTAATGACTTTGTCATTAAAAAAAAAGGAAATAATATCCCAAAGCTTTCTTTAACTATTTTTTAAGGGTTCCCTGCAAAGGATTTTGAAACAAACCTAGCAAAAACAAATTGAGGGACATTTTGATGGTGTTTATTTTCCCAACCTGCAGTAAGCTTAAAGAGGAGCAATGCAATGCATTTGTTTTACAGCACGTTTCTAAGGCGAGCTTCTGTGTCCTTTTTCTTCAGTGTAACATTTGTTGTGTGACTGCTTTTCTCCGACGTTAGTCCCAAAACATGTACGTCAGTTCTTTCAGCGCTTCTGTTCGCCAGCTGAGGATCTGTATTTTTGGGGGGGAGGAGGCATCAATGGTTGACCTGAGAACTGCTGCAGAAATCCCCTCTGGAGGCCATAGAAGAAATCTCCTACGCATTTGAAAAAAGCAACTTGCTTCTGATATACTTTTTTCTTATATTGTGATGTTTTAGTGATATCAAGCTGTTTGAACACCGGGTGTAGTTTTACTCATTTATGCACTGTACAGAAGACGAGACCTCTGAATATTATTCATCTTGTTAGTTTTTTTTAACTTGTTTCCTGACTTCCTGCCTCTCCTCAGATGCATACACACATTGTTTAGGTTTCTTTTCTGTGTTGTGGAGTTTGTTTTTCATATCAGGAGAGCCTGAGATTTAAACTACAACCATTGTGTTCTTTATATTCTAAAAAAAATGTTCTGATTTACTCTATGCTAACATTAGCACCTTTTTATTTATTCTGATTTTCTTTTTGAAGTGAGTTTTTTAAGCCTTTTGTTGGAATCATGCCACCTACATGCCTATACTATTAATCCTTTATGTAAAATACAATGAGATGTATATTAAATTTGTGCGTAAACTTTCATAATGGTTCTAGAACAAGGGCGGACTTTTTTTTAATGTAAATTTAGAGTTCAACAATAAAAACTGCGCACAGCTTTTGATGAAATTATCACAAGACCTGTTATCGTGTTTCTCACCGTGTCTGCTTTGCTTTTTCCCAGTGCCTGTAGTCATGCCATGTGATGATTTTCTGAGAAGGTCGGCAGTTTTACTCTTCAGTTAATCGACTCTGCACACAGCCGCTCTTTTTTAAAGCATTAATGTTGCTCAGTGGTACTTATTGTGTGGAGTTTCTTTAAAACTGCTACAATGAATTTTGTAAGCAATTGGCACTATTTTGATTCAAGATGTTTCCTCAGTTCACATCTGCTATGAATACATTGACTCAGTAAGATGAACATCAAAAAGGTGTTTGTCTTTTGTATGTTCTGAACATCTAAAGTAGGTACAGCAAGGGCAGTTTTGCCACACTTTTCGATAAAGCAATTCATTCTCTATTCTAGGAACTGATTTTTTCGGGGCTAACAAGATTTGAATCCCAAAAATTCCCTTTTCTGTTTTTGACCATAGCAGGGCATGTTATCGTGGCTTCTGTAGGTGCTGCAAAACTGGCTCTTTTAGTTTAATTTTCATTTAAAATTTGTGATTTTAATTTTAACTATAGGTTTATATTTTTATGATTGCTGTACATTTCCAGGGTTCTGAAAATTATGTTGAGTTTCAGTCTTGAGTTGTCATTTTAGGAGAATCTTTTGTGATAATACTTCTCCGCGTTCCTGGAAAGACCAAAGAATTGGTTGTGTTCTGGATCACAGCTGTTTATTAATTTCTTCTGATTTAAGCATGCACTGTTTTTGGGACAATACACAAGCATTAGTTATTTTTATGTACAGAACCTAATTTGAACCTTTTAGAACTGCCTTAAATAAAGAAAAATAATGCATCACTCACATCTTTACCTTTTTTAAAAAAATATTCGTTTCTCGTGTTCTTCCATCTTATAATTCGCCTTTACATCAGCCAGTACATGGATCTGGAGACAATGGGTTTTCCTGAAAAAAGGGTTCTGCCCAGCAGAGCTTGTGGAAAATGTTTTCTAGGTCTGCCCTTTTCATTTTGAAGATGGAAGTGGTTTCTGCAAAAAGTCAATTTTTGGAGTCAAAGTTTACTGATGCCAGTCTTGATTTTGATGGTCTAACAAACTGTTGTGAAGCAGCTTTTAAAGGTAAGTGAAAGACATGAAATTGAATGCGCCCAACTTTTCTCTTCAGTACAAGAACACCTGCCTGGATTTTTTTTGTAGTATTACAAGAGGAGTCGGAAGGGGGATTGATCATGGTAAAGGATGCAGAAGCTAATGGATGGAATGACATGTTTCTCTGCTAAGGGGTTGTAATACTGTTGCCTGTCAGATTAAAATAAAGGTTTGTCCTGTCTTGAGCAGATTTGGGAAGCTTCATGCTAAAGCTCACTGCTAATAGATATTGACTGAGCCTTCTACATCAGGCATTGCTGAAATAATTTAGATTTACTAATTGGCTTGACTGATTCCTGGCTCTTTTTTGGCTCTTCATTTTTGTTTACATTTGGATTGTACTGTATCCGTAAATTAGTAATGGTAACTGTTTTAGCCAGTATGTGGTTATGGACCAAATAATCATCATTTGACTTATTTGCATCCCATATAAGAAGCACATTGCCAATATTGATCAGTACCGTATATCCAGATTTCAAAGAGCAGGCTAAAGCTGGTAGTTCCAAGATCATTTTGGGAGCACTTCAAAGCTGGCTCCTTGGTGTCACAGAATGAAGAGGATGAGACCCTGTCCAATGAGGCTTTCAGTTCAGGAGAATCGAGTGTCCTCTTACTGGAAATATTTGATCAGACCTTCCTGTGATGTGAGATCTTGTGTAAGATGCACCATTTTCTTGAAATGTGCCCGGTTAGTAATACAAAAATGGCAGTCTGTTTTAATCTTCAGTTTAAAAATATTCTGGGCTTTTACGGTACCCTTTCAATAAAGTGCAGTCCAATCCATTTCTCAATATTATACATTGCTTTAGTATTTTTCTTGTACTTTAGGTATACTTCAGTTGTAACACTATTGTGATGTAGTACTTACTGTTCCTGTGCCTTTTATAGTCCTGTCCACTGTTTTTTTATAGCTTGAGAATCTGCTTTGACTGACATTTTGTGGCTTTGTTTCAAATAAAACAAGCCTGAGGTTTTTGGTGTTTGCAATTCTTCACAAGATGGTTTCAAAGCATGATCTAAGAGGGCCAAGGACTGGAAAGCCAGCAAACATGTAGGAGGAATTAGTGGTCAGATAATATTTCATATCGACTTACATCTGTGTCCTATGCACATCTATTCGCATTGTGCTGCAAGTGTGGCACTGCCCATTCTGGCACAAGATCTTCGTCTGTGGCATCATCTTATTTTGTTTTAGCACAGTAGTATCATCACCCCTACTATGGGTGCTTTCTCTGGATGAGCACTGTTCTGTGCTTGCAAGTATACACTTTTCCTCTCAGAGTCCAGGATCCTGTGTTGCAGCTACCATGGCGTTGTCTAGACACTTTGTAATTCTCTCCAGGAGTGTCTGCTGCCATGAAGCGTGCACAGTAGCTGATGTGGTTTCTTAAGGGATTTAGCACAAGGCTACAGGGAAACATCAAAGCCTCCCAAAGTACAGCTGATCTGCCTCCATGTTTCACAGAGGACATGGCATTCTCTGTGTAATCTTTGTTATTGGTCCAGGAGTTCAAAGAAGTCAGCACACTTTATAAGATCACAAACTGTTGATGTGACATTTTCAGAGTTTTCTGGATGTCAGCAAATGTCAAGCTCTTTATTTTAAGTTGATTCTAAGTGAGACTTCTTTCACTAAACCCTGCAATGAAAATTACTCATGCCGCTGATGTCACACTTTTTCCAGGGTAGGTACTGTATCCTGTCAATGCCAAAGATAAAGATCTTTAAAAGTTATGTGGATGTGTACCATCTGTTAAGAGGAAAGCTATATTGATTGTTCTCATCCAGTGTTGAAAGACTGATGATGATTTGTTCTGTGTGAGCCATGCAGATCAATAACAGATCCTTACTGTTAGTCTTAGTGTAGTGGGTGTTTTTGCCTTCTCTGTGCCTAATCCCATCTCTTAAAACAAGCCCTTTCAAAATAATGGTTTTATTAATTACATAAACAGGCCTACTTATTTGTAGATCACCTACTGTACATCTGTGAAAGATCTAGAAATAATTCTGAGCTACACGTTCCCTTTGTTTTCAAGTTCCTTGATCACAATACCATTTATTGATATTTAAATATGTTCATGTGTTAAATGTGTTACATGCATGGCTTTTACTGAGATAAGGTTTTGGTGCCATATTGTAATTGCATCCCCTGGTTTGAACAACTACAGGTCATTGGTAGTTTGCCTGATAATAAACCCAGTACAAATTGCAGCTGCTGCTAGATTATTTTGGTTTTTCTCTCTGTCTCTTTCTGGACACAGTGCCCCAGAGCTCAAGTGCATCTCCATCAATTCTCAAATTCTTTTGAGTGGAGCAACAAGCATCCATTCATGTGCGTGACCATTTACTTAAGGAGTGTTCTAGACATTAACTTAAAGCATCTGAAACTGTTGCTGCAAGTTAAGCATCAAAGCTATGGAATTCGTTTGCAGTTTTTTAAAATGTGCATTAATACGAGTAGTAACTTGAGCTTTTTAGTTTTTTAAGTTTGCAACAATATAATAAAAGTTGTTACGCAAAATAAAATTAGTAATGTTTTCATAGCTCTCTTCTTTTTCTGCTAGTTTCCATTAGCCACTCATCTAATCTGATAGATTTAAGTTTATTTTTACGTTTTAAGACAAACCTGCAAAATCTGCTGATTTTAAGTTTGAGTCACATTATTTCCATAAATCTCTGTTAATTGTACCATTCATAAACGTAAGGCTATGTGTTTTTGGATGTTGTCTTTTAGCATAGCCTGAAAGCTCAAACTGAAGAGCAAGATCTTAAGGTAACATAATTTACTGTAAAGTTCAGCAAAAACTAATGAGTGCACAAATATTCAGACACATGACTCAGTATTTGGTGAACCTTTGGCAGTAAAAGGTCCTACTGATTTTGCAAACTTGGTGTAGTTTTTGCCCATTCTTCTTAGCAAATTTACTCAGGCTCTCTAAAGTTGCTTGGGGAATCACCCTTGGACAGCAGTTTCCAAGTCTATCCACAGATTCTCAATAGGACTCAAATCAGGACTTTGAGTAAGCCACTCAACAAAGTAGTTACTAATAAATTACAAATGCATAAATCACTCCAGTGTAACTTTGGCCTCATGCCTTGGATTAGTATCCTGACGAAGGTAACTTTTTAAAGATTTATATTAATAACAGTCTTGACAGGTCCAAGTCCATGCTGATAAGAAGAAAAACTACAGTTTAATATAATGATACAACCTCCATGGTTAACAGCAGGGGTGGTGTTGACTGAGTAATGCACTACAGTATGTTGTGTTTGCATCAGATGTAACAGTTTGCGTTTAGATCAGAAAGTTTCAATTTTGTTTTATCTGACCTCAAAAACGTCTGTCCTATGTTTTGTGTCAGATGCTTTGTTGCAAACCCCATGCAGGATCTAAGACTTTTTTTTTTGTTCTGTTGACATATAGACATTATCTCCCATCACACAAACTGAATTCTGTATGTCTCCATTTGCTTCACACTGGCTTCCCACCCAAGATTCCTCCTTGTGCAGCTGCTCAGTTGTGAGGGAAGGCCTGATTTATTCAGCGTCTAGCAGTCTGTTGCTTCGGGATCGACTTCGCCTTGCATAAAGAGATAATTACTATTAATTGCATCAAATTAACTTTCTGTCTGAGAGACATGACAGAGAAAGATTATCTTGTGAACCACTATTATTGCACACAGACACAGGCCGTTCAACGAATTGTGTGGCTTGTTAAGATCATTTCGTGCCGCTAACGTAATTTAAGTTTGTCACAGCAAAATGTTTGCATACGTATTCAATCACAGCTTCCATTTTACTTTGAATGTGTGGAGTAAGTTGTGTATATGACAAATATCAATTGTTATTTCAGAGTGTCGTGACTAAGCTTTAAAGTAACAAAATGTGAAAACTGCATGCCTGAATACTTTAGAAAGCCACTGTGCATTTATCATAAAGATAAATATGTTGAACTTTCACCTTAATAGTAGTAACTTTCAGAAACTATGTTGCCTTAAATGGTCAGATCATGTGTCACCAGACAAGACTACAAACGTCCCTTTCTTGTAACCCATCCACAGATCGCTGTCATCAGAAGGTTAATTGCATTCTTTTTTAACTAAAAAAAGGATTCCCTCCTATTGGGCAGTTGCTGCAGGTCTTACTTTTAAATTCTTGCCCAGAAGAGGGCGACATAGAACTCAAGTTGCTACATTTTAAAACCGCCTAGTAAACAATTGTAATTGTTATAATAATTGTTACAGCCATGCAGGGGTGAGATACAGGACTGCATTCCTGTTGTTGTATAAAGTACAGTATTTTGACAGAATGTTTAGTAGATCAATATTGTGCTTTACTATTGGCTACAATATGATAAAAAAAATAATAAGTGCTGAAAAATGTCCTTGAACGAAGCATTAAATATTGATCTAGTAGTAGATACTGTAAGTTAATCTTTTTATTTTACAGAAACTGTAGTCTAGACAGTCATAATAATTAAATAACTAATATCGGACAGTAATAATAACTTTTCTAAAATAATGTAGTGTAATTGACAATCCAGTTCACAGTTTTTCTTAGTAAACCAATACTGATCATATTTATCAGCAATTGCTTTCCAGCCCTGCTTTACACTATTTGTAGCCCAGCACACACTGTATTCTTCGGTTGTCTGTTGAAGAGCCTGCTTTCTGGACAGATAAAATCTTGAG